CGATAGCTTATGTAGGTGACATTCAAGCAAGTGAAAAGTTATGAAAAAAATATTAATAATTAATTGAATATAGATATGTATATGTAAATATAAGCACATTGATATACGTGAAAATATGTTTAAATGTATGTGCGTAGTATGTGTGTGCAAGCCATAACAAAACAGCTCGCTATCCTTTCACCGTGAAATGAAAAAAAAAAACCATGAAGGCCAGTTGATACACATTCACTCATACATGTCCGTGAGTAGAGAAGAAGATAAAATGTGTGCGAAATTACAAATATTTATACATACATATATACATTTATAGACATATTTTGATATGAAATTATTTTGAACTCATTCATATATCGACTCTAAAGAGGCTTTAATCGATTGAAACGTATAACAGTAAGCCAAAAGACAGCAAAAAAAAAATTCAACAAAAACCGACAAAAGTTATAAGCAATGCCGGGCGGAAGGTATTGAGCCGCAAACCATCAGCCATCAAGTGGAAACTTAATAGGGTCAACGGAAGAAATGCTGCCGCAAATTTCCGATTGCGCATATTAAACACTTCACGCTCTTCTATATTTAAAGGGAGAAGGGAAAAAACTATGCATATTTCATTTCGAGCTACTAGAGGTCGAAAGTTTTTCACTTAAATTAACTAAAATTTAATAAGAAATAATAATACGGACTCTAAAGATAAGCGTCTTTGGGGTACGGAACGTGGTGTTGGTCAGCACGGTTTGCGATTTGATTAAATGGATCCACAGTAGTAGAACCAGCAATGCCATTACGACCGCTTTTCAATAAATCATTTTCATGGAAGGCTTTGACGATTCGGATGCACTGGGCTAGGTAAGCCGGGCATTTATTATGAGAAATAGGTTAAATTTTAAAACACACAGAAGTGGAGATCTAAAGTAGGATACCTCATACCACAAGTCTGTATTAACGAATAAAAAGAGCAGAACCCGAGGCACATTATAACGCTATTCGATATCTAAGCATTTAGTGTAGAAAGCCAAAATTTAGTTGAAGCCATGGAGCAGAGCTTTACTTATCATTTAAAACTGTAACCTGAACCAACTCTTCAACGATTCATCGTTTCGAAAAGGGTGCAAGTCAACGAAAAAGAAACCGAAAACATCCCAAGCACAAAGTATGTTGTCCAAAATCGAAGATAGACATAGAAATGAGATCGTTACTAAATTAGACTTCGACTTTGAAACTAGTGATTTATATCGGAAATTAAAATCCAGAAATGTGAAAATTTTGAAAACTATGTTCTTGAGGTATACGATGAGAGGGTTTTTTTTTTGGTTTCCAAGCATTGTTTTCGGTTTTGTTCAAGAAGTTGTGGCACATCAGGCAAACTTACTATTGCACAACCCTGCCTGGGGACATGCAAGGTAAGTCTATGCCCTCGAGATCATCTCACCGGTACACACACCAAAAAAGAAGGGTTTTGAATGAGTGTCCTGCGGGTATATACGTTAAGTTTGTATAGATAGGAGTCTATAGGCTTTTGCAACTTCCTCACTGCGTCTCTCTAACCCAGCCGGCCGATTCCTTTGAAAGCTGCAAGCCACTTTTCTATATTTTTCCCCATGGCATGCAGAATTGAGAATTTTGTTACGTCTCTTTACTTTGTGACAATCGCAATCTAATGTGACTTCACATAAAATGGGGTTGTTTATTGTTGTAATTTTGGCTTTGACGACTTTAACACTCAGTTCGAGACGGTATTTCTACGCACAGCCGGTGAAGTGTACCTCCAGCTCTTCACTAGTTGTACTTGTAATTAGTATGCAATGCAAAAGTAGGAAAGTAAAGTAAGATATAGGTGAGCAGAATGTACACGTTCAAACAAATATTGCCAACATCCTGTCAAGCAGTCTGCACAGGAAATCAGGATAACCTTCTGTGGTGGTGGAAGGAGCTTCGAATATAAAAATTAAACAGAAGCGGGAAGAGGAAATCATAATTCAACAACAACCACTTCAACTCCGTCGCTAATATCTTACTGTCCGGTAGTAGCTCTGCTACTCCGTCAAAGGCTTTTGAACTTTATGGAAGCGCTGCTAATATGCTGCTGGGCTAAGGTGGTGAGTGAAAAACGGAAGCAGCAAGGCCTCAAGTGTTCCTAGGCAGAGAAGTGATATCGACCGACATGAAACGCGGGACCATCAACCCTGTTGCCGCATTTCCTATATTTTTATGGTGGCCAAAGACTGTCTGAAGGTCATTGCAAGGTATTCAGTAGTCGCTAGACCTAGATTTTTTAACATCAGCATGCCTGTTCCGCTTGGGCCAATGTCCGATTTCGCTCGAGCTTCTACTTACTAATTCCTCGAAAATGAAAAGTGTTTTAAGATTTCACAATCCACCTCACCTGTACAATTTCTGCACGGGTCACCAGATGATGCACCTGGTCACTACCGGTCCATCTACTCATAAAAATATAACCTGTAAAAAGGCCCCAATCTCTCTAATTTTAAACGAAAAAAACACTCGTTGTTTCAGATTTATAACACTCGTTACAATATCCAGTAATCTACATAGAACACTGTATATACACCTTACGTATGTACATTGTATTTATAAATATGCAATCATTCATTATGAAATAATAAACTAACGTACGGAAATATTTATTAACCAGCACTTAATCACAATTAACGGTGAATTTCGCAAATTCTGAGACACAAAAGACGCAAATCAGAAAAGTGGAGTGTGAGAAATGAGAAAAAAAGACCTATGATCAAAGCTTAACTAAAGAAATATGCACTATTAAAGGGTGTTTTTTTAGATGTATGATTTTTAATGAGGTAATATTTTTCGATACCGAAACGAGCTTTCAGACAAGCTGACTCTTTTTCGTGTGATTTCTTTAACTTGCCGCTGGAGAAAATAATACGAGCTGCAAAGCTGAGACGAGAAGGTACAATCTTCTATATGAGTGTATAGCTGCTAGCGTACGCCAATGATATCGACATTATTGGCCTCAACAACCGCGCCCTGAGTTCTGCTTTTTCACCCGAATAAGAAGCGAAGCGAATGGGTCTGATATTGAATGAGGGCAAGACGAAATATCTCCTGTCATCAAACAAACAGTCAATGCACTCGCGACTCAGCTCACACAACACTGCTGACAGTCACCACTTCGAGGTTGTAGATAGTTTCGTCTTTCTTGCGACTAGCATTAGCGCCAATAATAGGTCAGCCTTGAAATCCAACGCAGAATCCAACTTTTCAATAGGTGCCACTTTAGACTGAGTTGGCAATTGAAAAGTAAAAGTAACAAACTCTACAAGTCGCTCATCATATCGGTCCTATAATGTCAACATCTGATGAATCGGCTCTAGGAGTCTTCGGGAGAAACAAGTGTTTTGCATACGATTTATGGTCCTTTGCGTATTGGCAACGGCGAACGATGAGCCGTACAAGCTCTTTGATGATATTGGCATAGTTCAGCGAATGAAGAGACAGCGGCTACGCTGGCTGGATCATGCCGTTCGAATGGCTGAAAACACTTCAGTTTTGAAAGTATTCAATACAATGCGTGCTGGTGAAAGCAGAGGAAGTGGAAGAATCAGGTGGAAAGGGACCTGGCTTCTTTTGGTATTTCCAATTGGCGCCAAATATCGAAAAGAAGGGATAAATGGTACGCTAATATTAATTCGGTTAAAATCGTATAAGCCGTGCCAACACTAATAAAGAAGAAGAAGAAGAACCCAGCAGAGTTGGTAATTCGAGGTACCATGGATCTGTTTCGCACCACGCCGTACAATGCGTACCGAAAACACTATTGCTGCTGTGGAGCACAATATCGAAGAAGACCTAATGAGTACATTGGACATCGCGCGCAACAATTGGAGCTATGCCCATTGACGTTATGGCAGATGTTGAAGACGGATCTTAGTTTGCGTGCTTATAAAATCTAACTCTTACAGACAAAGAAGCGTGTCCCACGTGCGCTGAATTGGCCCAAAACGAGTTGACTACCAATCTCGAAGATCTTTTTTGGTTAAATGGGTAAGTTAATAAACAAAATTGTGGCATTTGAAGTGATGCTATCCTACAAGTCATTATTCAGACGACGATACATTCTCAAAAAGTCACTGTTTGGTGAGCTCTATGGGCAGCATAGAATCATTGGTGCATATTTCTTCAAAAATGCAGCCAGTCAATATGTTACATTCAATGGACAACGCTACAGAGCTAGAGGATGTTTATGTGGACAATCTTTGATTCCAACAAGACGGCGCTACCTGCCATACACCCACCGAAACAATCAATTTATTGATGGAAATTTTTGGTGAGTGCATCATCTCACGTCGTGGGCCTCCAAGACCGTGCAATTTAACATCACTGGACTATTTTTTGTGAGGTTATGTGAAGTCGCTTGTCTACGCAGATGAGCCCGAGACGCTTGACGCCTTTGGTAGAGAATATTCGGGGATTTATTATTGGCATACGATCCCATAGCATTGCTGCAAAATGTGGCCTCTTAGCTGGAGCCGCGGAATCATATTTATAGCATAATGGCAAACACTTTACTCTATAAAAAGGTTATATTCTTGGGTATAACATCAAAATTATAAGCGTTCTATTTCTTCTCGAAAACTAGATATCTAAAAAAAACACCCTGTACATATGTAAGTAGGAACATAATAGCAAAATAGACACCGGACAAAATCAAGATTGAAACTATAATAAAACTTAAGTGAGTAGGAGAGTAAGGGAGTAAGAGAGAGAAAGAGAAGAAAGAGTAACACAACCAACAAACACAAAAGGCTCACGATTAGTCAAAGCTAAGTTTTTCGCCATAAAAAAATTTACTTAATTACTTATTTACAACCGTATGTACAATACATATGTATGTTCGTATGTGTAAAATATCGCACAACATTAAAGCTGTACAATGAACTCCAATAATAAAAACAACCAAAACAACAACAACAATACAAAAGAGATAATCGAAGCTAATACAAATTGTGATTTGCCCATACCAAATGACGGCTGTCCGCTGCAGGATATTGCATCTACATTGGTTGATCGGTTGATTGCGCAAGCATTTGTAAATATGTATGTATGTGTGTGTGCGTGGGAAATAGAAATAGAAATATACATTAGAGTTATGGTAAGTATATATTTATTTTATAATTAATTCAAAATTATTTAAAGATTTGCTAGAGCCAAAAAATTCATGATTTGCCTAAAAATATTCACTGGTTCTTCATTTTGGGGTTTTTTTTCCTCGTGATCAAATAAAATTTTTTCATATATATTAGGCCATGTAAATAATTCGTTCAATTTTTTTATTGATTTTTTAAAATAGGACAACTTTGTATACATTTGTGCGGTTTAAGCATATAATATATGCGCAGTTTTGCCGATAACACACTTGTTACCAACGAGATGCCAACTTCATTATACCCCACTCGTCCCTATTGGCGAAAAACCCGGAGAGCCAATTTTCACAGGCCTCTCTTGAAGCCAACTTCTTACCATTAAGCGCGTTCGCCATGGACAGGAAAAGATGGTAATCAGTTTGTGCTAGGTGCTAACTATAAGGTGGGTGCATTAGGACCTCCTACCCGAGCTCCAGGAGCATCTGGCGCGTCGCCAAAGACGTGTGTGGCCTGGCGTTGTCCTGAAACACAATTCAGCCTCTATTAATCAAAGATGGCCTCTTCTGGATAAGTGCTGCCTTCACGCGCTCCATTTGTTAAGGCAGTAGAGGCCCGAATTAAGCGATTGGCCATATGGCAGCAGCTCCTGGTAGATGATTCCTTGTCAATCCCACCTAACACACAGCAAAACCTTCTTGGCCGTCAATCCGGTCTTGGCCACCGTCTGGACCGTCTCCCCGTGCTTTTACCACGACCGTTTGCGATCGATGTTGTCGAAAGTGACCCACTTTTCTTCGCCAGTCACAATCCGCTTCAGAAACGGGTCGATTTTGTTGTGATTCAGCGGCGATTCGCAGATGGAAATTCGGCTCATCATATTTTTTTTTTTTGCGATAGTTCATGTGGCACCCAAAAATCGAGCTTCTTTTTGAATCCAAGGTTATGCAAACTGTTCCAAACGGTTTTCTTGATTATCTTTTGCTCCTCAGCAATTAAATAAGTGCTCACGTGACGGTCTGTTTCCACTATTTCCATGATTTTATCGCAATTCAAGACTAGTACTATGGACAATAACGCCATCTCTTAGATAAATTCCAAGAAAGGGAGGCCAATTTCGGATGAAACCGAACACAATATACACAGCTGATGTTTATTTTAAATGACAGATCGTTTGTCTGACATTCACAGAAGGACTGAATTCCAGTTATACTTGGTTGTGGACCCCTGTGGTTATATATATATATACATTTTTTTTTTTTTGGTAGATTATCATATCCATTAATTAAGATCAAGTTTATTCAATAAATTTCTTAAATTTTCGATCCTCAGTACACAAATGGGTCAAATGCAAGTTCTGTCCAGTCTCTTAAGCATTTGAGATATACTTTTTGGCCTAAAAATGGATGGTATCACAACCACACGAAATTTGTTTCCATGACATGACTAAATCGATTCATCTACAAATTCCATAAAGTTTGATATTGCCTTTCATTGAGATTGGATTTTTCGCGCTTATTGCAAACGATAATTTCATCTTCATCTTCCAATTGGATTTGAACCTCTCTGAACTGATACTACAAACATCCGATGGATCTAGGTCCAGCGAAGCAGATAGCCAGTGTAACCGAATCTAAGCTATACATACGGCCTCAATCGTTGCAAAACTGGTAGAAATTTGGGTTTCTCGGATGGATTGAATTCGAACCAACCGGTCACTTGCCCGGAAATATATATACAAACATATTGGCAAAACCTTTTTCCTTATAATAAACCCAATCCTTGGCCATAATATTCAATTATATGCGTTTTCCTTCTTCTTGAAAAACACATGCATAATATGAACACCCTGTTCTACATATTTTGCCAATCTCTTTTGCAAAAAAAAAATGAACTCTTCTTTTAACTCTAAATGCCTATAATTGTAAACTTTTTCAAGCAAAACCGTTACTCCAGCACAATCGAAATCAGTGCAAGGCTACCAATTTGGAGTTACTTCGTTTGAAGGTGCTAATTTGGAAAACGTTAAACAGTGGCGATTAAAACACTTTGACAAATTGCAGAGGCAAAATATATAATTTTCAATTTCTTTTTAGTTAATCCTGCGCTAACGGTCATCAAAAGCCTGGCGTAATTGTTTGTTAACGCTAAGAGGTGTTAAACTTAGCTAACGGTCAAAAACTATTTTGCAAAATAATTTTTAATAATAATAATTTTTAAAATTATATTTTTTAGCTAAATACATAAATACATATTTGGGCAAAGAAATACTTTTAATAAGCGAAAAATGTTATCAGCAAACTTTTTTTTATTCATTTCGCTGACCTACATAAATGATTAAGAACGCTTATATACATACTCTCTCGGCATAGAGTCTTTTGCAAGTAATTTATGACAAAATCTCTCTATGATTTTTATTATTTTTTAGCATTTCCATAGCCTTTTTAATTTGCATAAATACACTCGCGACGCTGAGTGGTTTAGTTTGTATGTAACTGAGTTTATGCACGAATTTCTCTGTAAAATAATTTATTGTAGTCGTGGAAATTGCTCAGCGTAAGCAATAAAAATCAATTCATTTGAACTTTTGATTAATTTTTAGATTTATTTAAATTTATTTTCTATTCAACAGTTTTATGACTTCATTGTCAATTCCAAGCTCATGACAGTGTAGATCGCAATAATTTGATAATAAGCAATTTGTTGATAATATTCTATTGTACATTGCTTTGCTTTCTCACTGGAATAAAAATAAATACCTCTATATTTATGTATGTATGTATATGCATAAAGATATTGTATATAATATGTAAGTAATCATATGTACATTCACATACATTTATCAATTTGTGGATGATTTCATATACATTTACATATTATTTTTTTAATTATTGAAGTGACCAGATAGCGCTATTTTCTAAAACTTAAATATTATGACGAAATGAAAGTTAGAGACTTATAACGGCAGCATATTCCAGAATGCACAAACCGAGTGTTCGATATCGAGTACCATTCGCACAGAACTTTCTAGTGCTGTATACGAGCAATCGGCTGGTATATAAGAGCAAAGAAGAACTCTGCTGACATGTCAGTTAAGTTGGGAACTCGTTGGTGATAACTCTGCTGTCAAGTGAAATTAGTAGACTGTGAGAGTGGATAGTTTCACCTTGTTATAGTTTAGACGCCGCTTACGGGATATAGAGTTAACAACAGAGCGCCATTCATTCCTCCTTTTAGCTGTTTGACGTCAATTGGAAATATCAAGTACTACTGCACCTGGTTTAGAACCTGGTTTTATAAAGTAGTGAAGGTCTTCTCCCTTCTCTGTCGCCACCGACGATTACTGAATCGAAATCTTTCGAAGCTGGAGTATACTTAACCATCAGGTCCCAAAATCTAGCCAAGATAGCTGCTGTCTCTTGATATGTAGAACTATATACGAGTACATTAGCTCCTCGTTCTATCGGCTGCGGTATTCGCCGTTTCCGAATGCGCGGTGGAACTTAGCTCTTACGCAAAACTTTTCTCTCGATTTATTAATTTAATTTAATGCCGGCTTATCCGTTGTTATCTACGTCCATGCTTCTGCTCAATACAGTAGGATAGGAATGATGAGTGCATTTCAAGACTTATTTTAATATAGGAAGTTAATGCTGGTTTCGAGATAGACGAAGTTATCTAGGTCTTCAAAGGTGTGAGCATCAACGTGAACGTGAGATCCAAGTCGGTAACGTGACAGGAGATATTTAGTCGCTTCCTTATCCAGAGTATGGAAAAAGTAAAACTACCGCGCGGTCTGTTAAGGATTAATCAGTTTATTAACGGTAAGCTTTAGTGATACGATTTTGAGGAGGCTTGTCCCATGGTAATTGGAGTCCGAAGTGGGTTCGTTGTAGAAAATTCAAAAAAGGAAAATATCTGAAGCAGCTGTCTGAGCAACGAAACTTGTCAACCGACTGACGAAAAGTCGAAAAGTGGTTCGATTGCGAAAGGCCGTGAAAAAGAAAGGCATTGACGCAGGCGAACAGTATTGCCAGACTAAATCCAGACACGTCCACAATGGGTGACGAAAAGAATGAATTCACTCGCAATGAAGCACGAAGCAATGAAGGTTATACCTAATTCACCTTCTGTAACGAACCTGAACAAGGCTGAGCCCAAATAAGATATAATAGACATTCGCAGCTCTAAGGAAACGCATTCTGGAGTACTAAAAAAGGGTATCATGAAGCGGAACCTAGCTTCAATATGGTGACAAATATCCTCTTCCATACGAAGATCGCTGCAAATCTAGATGAGTAGAGTGTTGAATATCTCCTTCCCAGGGGCTCTACCGTTTCCATCCCAAGTTTCCTTTTCGAGCCACGAAAGATTTTAACTCAGTAGATTAGCCATGAACGAGACAATAAAAATCCAACCTCAACCCCCCGAACGTCTTTTACATATTTTACCATCTCGTTACTGAGTCAAAATCTATAAGTTGAGCAGAAGAAACGTTAAAAAGTTAGTTTAACTCAATTCTCACGGTTTTGACAAAAAAATCAGGTCTTGTAGGGCAACAAAATTAAGGCAACGGCTCTAAAATTGATCTAAGAATGTTCTAAGAATTCCATTGTCGACGTAGAACCAATAGACGAAGACCTTGGAATATAATTTTCTAATCAATAATTTCATTATTTCCGCCACAGTTTATGATCACATTTGCAGATAATATTTTGTTAATTAAGGAAGAATTCCGAAGGAGCCTACAAACGTATAATCTGCCATAAAATATTTTATGGTTGATTCTGCAAAGCCTTGTATTGTAGTACATAAAAAGGTTCATTAATTCCTACTCACGATCTCTTAACGCCATCATTAGTACATAATGTACATATATATAACATATGTAGCCACGCACTAACAACTCGAAT